CCCCAGTTTTCCCTTTTTTTTTGGGTTTGGGGGGGGAGAGGAGGGGGGGGGAGGGGTCGGGGGGGGAAGGAAAGAGCAGCTGCGCATTGGAGCCGGAGCGCTAGACTCAGGGCATATACGCAAGTGAGCACTTTCCTGGACTCAAGTGAGCACTTTTACTGCCCGGCTTTCGATATGTGAGTTGAAAAAGTACCATGAGGACTTTCCTGGATGCATCTGGCCTTTTTTATGGCCCGACCTGGATGCACCTGACCGGAATTACGACCGGTGTGAGACAGGTCGATATGTGTCACAGGCAAGTTGAAAAAGTCCCGGTGTGAGTATGGGCCTTCGTGCACCAGTCACCAAATGTGCAAAATGTGAATGAATCTTTCACTAGAAGCTGCGAAGTTGCACTGCCGTAACGTTTTTCGTTTTTGAATTTGCTGAGTAGTGTGGGGAGGAGGCCCTATGTGCCCAGAGAAAACAAATGGGCAAACTGAGCCACTAGATGGCCAGCGTGCCCTGTTTCTCTTGGTGAGTAGTAATCAAGGCTGTTTTTTCTCGGTGAGGCCCCCTATGCTACTCTGCTCTCTACTTTACTCTCTACTCTCTCCTACTGTACTGTACCGTACTGTACTGTACTCTCTAGTCTGAACTCTACGCCACCCCTATTCTCTACTGTGAACTCTATGCCACTCTCTATTCTCTACTCTCTACTCTATGATACTCTACTCTCTGCTAACTCTTCTGTTCTCCACTGTACTCTCGACTCTCTGCTCTGTACTCTGTTCTCTACGCTACTCTCTGCTGCCTGCTCTCTACTGCGTTCTCTGCTCTGCTCTCTATGCTCTGCTCTCTACTCTACTCTACACTATTTTACTGTACTCTATTCTACTCTCTACTCTACTCTCTGCCTTAGGCTACTCTCTACTCTCTACTCTCTACTCTCTACTCAACTCTACACTATACTCTGTACTCTCTACACTATACTACTCTCTACTGTACCGCTCTCTCTACTTTACTCTACCCTACTATCTACTCTACTCTATGCAACTATGCTGTACTTTACATCACGCGACACTAAACTCTTCTCGGCTCTACTCTCTACTAGCTACTTTACACTGCTCTCAACTCTCTTCTCTACTGTCTTCTCTCTACTCTACTCTACACACTTTCTACACTTAATACTCTCTCTACGCTGATCCACTCTACTCTCTACTCTCTACTCTGTTTTCCGCTCTACTCTACTCTCTACGCTCTATTCCACTCTATTCTACGTTCTGCTCTTCTCTACCCTATACTCTACTGTCTACTCTCAGCTCCTCTCTCTACTCTACTCCCTGCTCTCTGCTCTCTACTTTCTACTCTCTGCTGTCGACTCTCTCATCTCTACTATACTCTCTACTCTATTGTACTGTCTACTCTACGCGGCTCTCCTCTACTCCATTGTAATCTACTCGGGCTATGTCTTTATTGGGGCCTACATCGGGATTATTCTTCTGTCCAAAGACCTGAAGGCTAAAACACTACTCTCTCTCATCTATGTTTGTTTTTCAAACAATCGACCATTTTTTTTCATTTTTTTTTACATGACAACCCTCCATTTTCCGGTTGCAGTATTCAAATCCTATTGGACGTTTCATACACGCTAATGTCAATTTCATCAATATCCCTTTGCAATGCGGGCCGAGCCGGGCTGGCTCTTCTTGTATGTCCTCAAGGCACAACTGGCAGGCAAATGCTGCCTTCACACTCAAGCTTTGAACTTCACACAAGTTCAGAAACTGTTTGCTCTTGTCTCAACAAATAGCACTCCCATCCATTCTTTTACAGTAAAAAAAAAAAAAAAAAAAAAGGGATTGACGAAGAACAAAAAAAAAAACAAAAAAAGGCACTCTTTACAGCAAAAGATCCAGACAAATCTAGATAGTTAGGAGACAATCTTAGATATTGTAAGTACCATCGAGTGATCTAATCGGGTGGTGTGGGATTGCTGTCCTTTCCTCTGGCCAACGAACATCTGCTGCTATGGTATAATGCCAGTATCTGACCTGAAAGTCGCACTAAATACAGCTATAATGACTGGTGTTCTGTGCGGGCCAATAAGCTAGCACCCCAGTGCCTTGGCATGCTCCGACTGTCTTGTGAACCTGAGAAATGTTATTACACCTCTGCTCCCATCCCTGGTTCCGCCTATGGTCCCACACTCCTGTGTGTACTACCTCTGGTACCACACCTCGTGTCCCATACCTTTGGCCCTGTGTCTGCTCCCAGTCCGGTCCCTGGTCCCACCCCTCTGGTTCTCACATGTCTGGTCCCACCTCTCTGGTTCTCACACATCTGGTCCCATCTCTGGTCCCACCACCCTGGTCCCACCCCTGGTCCAAGTCTGGCCCCAGCTTAGGTCCCATGTCCCTCGTTCCTCCTGGTCCTGTCTCTGGTCCCGCCTTGACCCACACCTTTGCTCCCATTTTGGTCCCATCCTTCCTGTCTGACACCTCTGGTCCCACATCTCTGGTCCCATGCCTCTGGTTGCACACGTCTGGTCCCACCTCTGGTCCTGCCCCCTCTGGTCCCCCCTCTCATCCCGCACCTCTAGTCCCACCTCTGTTCCCGTCACCATGTCCCATTTTCGGCCAACATTTTTGTCTCTCGTGTTTTTTTTTTTTTTTTTTTTTTTTTTTTTTTTTTTTCCACATTGCATTATGCTCCATATCCCTGTCTCATGGTGACTTCTTGCAGTTGATTTGTGCAGGAAAGGAGCTGGTGCCATTCTCACTCATGAGTGAACGAGCGGAGCCTTTTGGAGAATGAGAAGGGGAGAGATGCAAAGGGAAGCAGAAATGAGGGCCAGGAGGCTAAATTTCTGATGGAGGATTGCGCCACAACATGGGATGGTGATTGCCGCAGAGATCAGACCACTAGATTTTTGCACAGAGATCGCAGCTGTGATTCAATTGAGCAGGAATTGAAGAAGAGTAGACCCATAAATGTCATCTTATCAGAGCAGGGGTCGAACAGAACTCTGAAGAGGACAGATGAACCTGTGACGAGCTGTGCGGCAGCAGTTTTCCTCTCTTGGAGATCACCAATCAGGTCCTGGAGAACGGATCAGAAACATGGTCACGGATCGGGTTGGGTTCTTTGCACCCTCGACAATGAATCATCGTTGTTTTTCTGTAATTTTGCCAACTGGATTGTGTAGCGGGGAACTTCCCTCACACCCTCCCCCCCACCACCCACCAACCCATGCCCATTAACAAAGGATTGGGGTTACTCAGGGTGCTGTTTAAGGGGATAGCAGCAGAAGAGGGTAAGTATGATGGGTTGTGAAGACAGAATGGAGGCATTTATTTCTTGATTTGAGCGGTGCTTGGGTAAGGGATAGAGGGGATGAGAGGAGGAGAGGAGAGGGTGAGGGTGGCGAGCTGAGCTGGCAAAGCATTGAGAACAACAGGAGGAGGTGGGTGCGGGTGGTTGCATCCAAGGAGAGAGGGGGGTTTGCCCCCATTTGGTACGTGTATGGTGATGTTACGTATGGCTGGACTAATGGAAGGCACAGTTGAAGAGGGATGGAGCTCTGGGGAGGGTGCAAAGGCTGGGGTGGTTACCTTGATTGTAAAGCACTTACCGAGTTCTCTGAAACCGGACATGGTGAAGAAGTTGTTTGCACACTATGGTGCTGTTGACGTTCGTCTCTGTTCAGCTTCTGGAAGGCTGCGAAACTGTGCCTTTGTCGACTTCAAGGATGGAGGCGAGGCAGCTCGAGCGGAACTGGCTCTCCACCGTCTCAAACTTGTGGACAAGGTTTTGGCCGTAGAGAAGGCAGAGCAGAGGAAACGCAAGGACGCACAAGAGCAGCAGCAGCAGCAGCAGCAGCAGCAGAAGCCAATGCCACCGCAGATGCCACTGCCTCTGCAGCTGCAACAGCAACAGCAGCAGAAACTAGAGCCTGCTAGTGGTCAGGCCCCGGGTGGGATGACGGCACCTCTAGTCCGGACCATAGCCATGGCAACAGATTTGGCTACAACGCCTGTGACTCTGCAGTCCGCCTCGAATGAGTTCACCCCTCGTAATAGCTTGAGCTTCTCTGGGACGGGACTGGGAATGGGAACGGCACTTACTCTAACCCCAGCTCTAGCTCCTGTAGTCTCGGCAACAGGGTTGGCTTCTGCTGCGGTGACTGTGCAGTCCCGTCCCAATGAGATCACGCCTCACAGCAGCTTAGGTCTCCCTGGCACGGGAATGGGAATGCGAATGGAGCTGACAGTTATGCAAGCCGCACCTTTGGCTTCCACAGCACTGGCGACCTCAGCAGCAAAGGACACTCGCACCGCTCTCCCCTGCACCAATGCCAAGACACCTGCGCAGCCGGCTTCAACGACACCTGATTCACGACCAAGGCCGCTGGCTTATCGGGGGGAGCCGATCGCTCCGTCACTCGGCGTCGACTACCCATCCGATCCGAGGCTCGAGTACGCTTATCCGCCCCCTGACATGAACATTCTGACAAACATCGTCAACGCGCTTGTGGCGGTGCCTCGGTTCTACACGCAGGTGCTCCATCTAATGAACAAGATGAATCTGCCGCCTCCCTTTCGGCCCGCGATGGCTCCGCCTCCTCTACCAGCGCAACCTTCTCCAGAAAAACGGCCGCCCGTGTCTGACAGTAGCAGCAGCAGCGAATCGGAGATGGGCTCGCAATCCGACGACGATGATGAGGATGAGAGTGATGCAGAAGGCAAAGAAGGTACCGCCCAGTTGACGGAAGAAATGAAGAGGCAGAGACGCAAAGAGAGGCGACGAGCAAAACGCGCTCGATTGGCCCTATCTGACCCTAAGGTTGTCACCGAACTCCCCAAGCCTGTCATTAAGAAACCTGGTATTAGGGGAAACAAGCCAATACTGGAGATAAAACTGAGCGCGAAGGGTCCAGCAGGTGTGGCGGAGAGGATGGCAGCGCAGGAGACATTGGCAAAGCAGAAGGCAGAGGAAGAAGATGCTGTTCGACGAGCAGCGATGAAGGCAGAACTCAGAGCAGGGAAAATTCCCTCGGAAGAGATACTCGCAAATCCTATGTTTAAGAATTATCAGCCAGGTGCGAAATCCAGAGTTCTTTATATCAAGAATCTTGCGAAGGATGTCGTGAGCGATGACCTGAAGCGGATTTACGAGGCATTCACAAAACCCGGAGAAGAGCTACTCATCAAACTTATGCAGGAAGGGCGGATGAAAGGTCAGGCTTTCGTCACCCTACCTTCGGAGGATGCTGCAGAGGAAGGATTAAGATGCAGCCATGGATATGTACTTAAGGAGAAAGCAATGATTGTTCAGTTTGGAAGGAGTCAGGTGCGAGATGCGCCCTCGTCATCTTCAGGGACCTGGCGGGAGCTGGGTGTCAGCTAGAGTAGCAGCAGCAGCAGCAATTCCATCTTCTGGTGCCGGAGCCCAGCCGATGATGCCCCCGAGAAGGCAAGCAGTCACAGGCTGAGCTATTATTAAGCCATACATTATCCCATCCACCTTCTTCCAATCTGCTCCACCCGGCGGGTGGGTGCAGCTCTTCATGCCTCAGACCCAATCAATGTCTGGGGCTCTGATTGGCGGCTGAATGCTGAATGATTTTGGAAAGCAGGCAACCTCGCAGAGCCTGTGCGACCACGGCCCGTCTCTTTGTGGGCCCTGATCGGCGGATGCCATTAGTTCTCTCACTGTGCAATATGTATATGTAGTAAAGGTCAATGACTTCACATGTATTCCTTGAACCTTCTAGATCAAGATTTTCTTGGTGTTTTGCTGCATGCACAGCCGAGCAGTGGGTGTGTTGGTGTGTTTGTGGGATGGCGGGTTTGAGTGGTGCAGGTGGGTTTTGCTTTGTAATTGTTGCTTGCCGGGCTTGTCTGGAGTGCACAGGAGGTCTTCTTTTTTTCTTTTTTTTGTGCAAGGCCTCTATCCCAGTAATGGTAAGAGAACCACCGGGATTGAGGCTTTGTCAACGGGCCGCTCCATCAATTGGTGGGGAGCATCACCTGCTGGAAACCGGGTCCAGCGTCCCATCACAGTCTGTCCTGTATTCCTATAACTGAGGCCCAAGGCCGGGGCCCAGCCAGGGCCTCTGGGGGACACCAGTGGTCCCTGTCTGCTCCCCGCCCCACCTTCCAACAGGCTCCTGAGGATAACTCTCCAACATAAGAGAAGTAGCGATAATCACGTTGGACGTGTGCAGGAGGCCTTGAAGCTCACATCAGGCTTGACTGGGTGTTGCTGGTTGCGGGAATTGTCAGCCTTCACATAAGGGCGGGTGGGAAGTGTTGTCACCAACTGGTCAGGCTTTGCTTCAGGAGAACTTGTTAAGTGGGTGGATGGATGGATGGGTGCCTTCCTTGTTTTAAATTTTAAATGCTTTTTTTTAATTTTGAGTCTTTTTCTTAGCCAATCTTTTCTTATAATAGCTGGAAAGTTGGTCCAGTGTTTCTTACAACAAGCCTCACTGATGCATGCCTGTCGGCCATGCAAGTCCAAAGATCACCAATATGAGGAAGAGATGCAGAATGACACTCAAATGAAATAGGACTGACTGACAATGCAGCAAACTGTCAAGGTGGCACAGATCTAATCTCACACTAGCGGGGAGGGATCCAAGGATTAAACAACGTCCCCGCTTCAATCATGCATGGACTAAGGTGGAGGAAGATGAAAAAAGTAGTAGTAGTAGTAGTAGAAGTCGTAGCAGTAGTAGTGATAGTAGTAGTAGTAGTAGTAGTAGTAGTAGACGAAGAAGAAGAAGAAGAAGAACACACAATGTATGTCAGTGCCAAATGATAACACTCTCTTCCACCTCTCGCTCTCTCCTCAACCTCCAACACCCTCCACGATGAGTCTCGGATCTCGAACTAGGAAGCTGGACTCCCATAACAATAATGCCAAGTCTTCTCTCTCTCTCTCTCTCTCTCTCTCTCTCTCTCTCTCTCTCTCTCTCTCTCTATATATATCTATATATATATATATATATATAGATATAGATATATCTGTGTGTGTGTGTGTGTGTGCGTGTGTGTGTGTGTGTGTGTGTGTGAAGAAGAAGGTGGCATACACTAATCCCCCACGGGCCCCTTAGGGCCAGCATTGGCCAAGTTTCAGGTCCTGAGCCACAAAGACAGCATTTTCGCAGTTCCCTGGGCCACGGCCAGGTTGGTTAGATTGGGTGTTGGGTGTGCTTTTTGGTGTGCTCTATATTTGTCTGTTCCAGGTTTTGTCCGGCCTGGGATGTGTCATTTGGACCTTTCGCAGGTCTGGCCCTGTTTTTCATTTCCAGCGGTGGGCCTGTGTTTTTGGGCTGAACCGTTTTTCTGAGATTCAGCCCTGTTTGTCCTTCTGCAGGATGGCCTGGATGTCGGTTGGACCCAGGCAGGCCACATTTTCGGCCCAGTTGCTGGACCGTCTCCACAGCGTTGATCGCTTCATAGATCTGGCGGCTCTGGATCGAGGCTGTACCCGGTTTCAGTAGGCCCTGTGCTATATCTAGTTGGGCCTAGTCTAGGTCGGCATGCAGTGTTTGGAGGTCACACTTTGGCATGGTGCAGCACTGAGGAGTAGCGCTAGGATTGGAACTAGAGAGCAGGAAGATTAGCAGAGCAGGAGATCAGCAGAGCGCTGGGTTGGAGAGGACTCACTTGACGCGGCATCACTGGATCTCCATCGCTGGCCACAGACAGCCCTTCCACCTACAGCACGGAAAGCACTTCATCTTTCGCTGGTCAATATCTGGTTGGTTGAGAGAGAGAGAGAGAGAGAGAGAGAGAGAGAGAGAGAGAGAGAGAGAGAGAGAGAGAGAGATTAGGAACTTCGCACCGTGTTGAGTGCTCTGTCTTGTTTTCTTTCTTCTTTCTCTGGTTTAGCTATACGTTCGGCGGGTTGGCCCTGAAGGTAGTATGCCATAGTAAGCTGGCAGGTTTGACAGGCGTTCCCGTAGTAGCTGGCCAGGGGAGTTTGGTTGGCAGTCGGATGCTTGTTGATTTTCTCCTCCCATCTTGTTTTGTAGTAGATCGGGGATTTTTTCTGGTTTTCATACCCTAGTATTTTCATGACCTTTCGAATATCAGTTTGGTCTTCCCTTACCACCCAGCCTCACAATTTCCACTTTTGCTTCCTCTTCATTGTCTGCAGTAACCTTCATCGTCCTATTGCTATTCCCTCAACGAGGAGGGTTAGTTAACTTAGGTTAGATTGTGGGTTATGCAAGCCTTCGCTCTTAGCTTTGTTTCTGTTTTCCAATGGTTTGTATCTTCGCTTCACAAGTGCTGGATTTGCCATATCCCCCCCCCATTTCTTGTCTGTCTTGGTTAGCTTTAGGGTCTCCCCTTACCCATCCTTGATCCATGGGTTGCCAGAGATGGTTTTTTGCCTTAGGACTTCATCCTGCCTCTTGGGTCCAACCCAGTGTTTGTTGAAACCTCAGAAAAGGCCTGACAAGTTTGGTGGCAAGTTCAGTGGGGTTAGTTCCCTGATCTGTTTGAGGGCTACCTTCTTCCCCCAAACATAACGCATATGCGTTGTAAACGAATACAACGCATAGGGTGTGTTCTATTCGAATACAACACATATGTGTTCTATTCGAATAGCCCTAAATTTTGAATACAATATATGCGTTGTATTCGACAAAGCGTATGCGTTGTATTCGACTTGTTTTCAAATTTTGAAACTCAAATACAACGCATATGCGTTATGTTCGAGGGAAGAAGGTAGCTCTATCCAAGGGAGTTACCCTGGATGGTTAGTTTGGTGATCCGCTTAATGTGTTGCGCTTGTACCTGTCGAGCTGGATCTAGGATCTCCAGCCTTCCCCCTGTGTAACTACTTGTCATGCCACTCTCTGGATGAAGTGCGTTTATTCCTGGATTACCTGTTTGTAGAAAGTCAAGCGCTCTTCTCCTGATTTGTTGTTGGAAGGCTGTAGTTGGGACCCAGATTCTTTTTACATACCCCGTTATTGCCAGGATTGAAGTGTGTACTCCTTGCCAATCGTGCATCATATTGATTAGTGAGGAAAGAAGAGCTCCCGCAGCCGTCGCATGATACCCTTTTGGATTTCAGCTGATTTCGAGGAACTTGGGTGGAGAGAAGGGATTTGCCTATTATATTCCTCGTGGTTTGATATATCATATGTAGGTGGTGAATTCTCCGCTAGCCACCACCCTACCATCGCCGACCAGTTTACTTTCATTTAAGAGGCTGATTGAATTTTTGGATTACTGTTGCTAGTGCTTGGAAGGTAGTGTTAGAAGCTCTAATGAGTATGGTCAAGTCATCGGCAAACAAGAGTGTTGTTGGAGGATGTACTAGGTTATGTCCCGTTCCGTCCTTTAGAATTTCAAATCTTATAATGGACATGTTTTTTTATGAGGAAAAAAAAAAAAAAAAACACTTGCTTTCATCACAAAGAGAAAGATGCGGGCATCTAATGGGTCCTCCGGTCTCACCAGCATTGTCATTCTGTAAGGGTTGGAGAGGAAACCATTTACCTGCACAATTCTTTGTGCATCCTTGTGTAAAGTCCTCGTCCACGTGTGAGGTTAAACCACCAGTACTTCCTAGAGTCGTGCCCGTTAACGTGCCACGATTTTAGGAAACGTACGGGCCACTACAGGAGCGCCCAAATTCATTTGACTATAAATGTTCCTACTCTATTGTTTTCCGTGGCCGATAGTTGGGTCAAGTACTGGTGGTTTAAGACATATTCTCATTTTGTTCCTTGCAGGTCTGCACGAAGTCTCAGTTAACCTGCTCATGTCTTTTTCAAAGTTGAAAAACAAGATTGTCATTGCAAGTTTTCTCTCGTTAATTAACTTGGTTGATTCACATAGTGTCATCATAATAAAGCCTGTTGATCTGGATGAAAACAGTTCCATGTGAGTTTGTTTATTCTGGAGGCCAAGAGTTTCTCTATGATTTTGTTTGCTATGTTTTGTAGAGAAATTGTATCTTCTTTGTCCTGGTTCTTGTACAGTAGGCTACCGCCCCAATGCTTTAGGTATGGCTGGAGATACTCTTCTATACATGCTCTGTTGGGAGTGTATAAGATAAAACAACCATTTTGTTAAAACTGATTTTTTTTTAAAAGAAATTGGGCTTCTAATTTCATCAATAGGACTGTTGATACTCGGACATCCTTGGGAAGTCACACCGTATGGTGTACATATTTTCCTCTTTTGTGAGTTGTTTTTAAGACCTTCGGATGTTTTTGGACGGTACTTTACATAGGGGCGCATCAAATGGTATGGCTTCCTTAGGATGCTATACGATCAATGGTCCGATGTCGCGGAGATATAAAAATGTTAAAAATATTGGGTGTTTTTTATGAGCACCATGCCATCTATAATTCTTTTGCTAGCCTGTGTTTTTAGATATCTAGTTAGGTTCCATATGTTTTAAGGCATATGGAGTTCTGTTAGTGTGATCATGTTTTTTAAATTCGTCAATAGGCTTTATGAATGAAGATATTCGTACATGAACTGATAATTTTTCCCTACACTCGGTATGTTGTTGGTTCTCCCCACCGGTGTTTTGTTGGTGTATAAGCCTAGAGGTTGACTGTTATATGTGTTAGTTGTATAGTTTTGAAAGTTTGTCTCCCTTCTGCATTAATTAGACTTTTTATCGTGGCGTTTACTAAGTTCAATTTAATTTTTTGAGTAAACAAATTTCGACATTTCCCATATGATTTTTATTCTGTTTTTTTGAAGTTCGATTTGTTTTTTTGTAAAAGAAACAAAACAAATCAATTTTCACAAAAAAAAAAAAAAAAAAAAAAAAAATTGTGACTTATTTTTTAAGGCGTAACTTTGTCCATTTTGCCAATTCGTCCTTGGATCGTTGCAGACTTCAGTGAACAATTTTGAATTTGTGTTGTGTTGTAGGTTAAACCATTAGTACCTTTCCCTACTTGAAAAGAAATACGCAGCTCGTTCACAACTTTTAACTTTTGGGAGTCGAGATGCGAGGTCAAAATGGTTGGTGGTGACAATCAAAATGAGGCATGCATTGATTCCTTTTTTTCGGCGTACGGGGCATTTCCAGGCTTAACTTCAATAGGTGGGCGAGGTATAGGTGGTTTAAATTTCGCTATTTTCATAGCCTAATTTAGCATTTATTTTTATTTTTTTTTTTGCTCATCAGACTCTGATCCTAAGGTAAAAGTTGTTCACGTTATTGTTTTGCATAACATAGTTGTTTTTCATATGTGTTTGATTTTTTTCTTATTATTATTTTTTTGGGGACCTACTTTGACCCTTGCACGATCGGACCGCTCGGGCAAACAAGGTGACCAAAGCGGTTGGGCTGGTAGCCTAGACACTTGGCCATTTTTTATATATTTAAGACTGAAAGTTGATTGAAACACAACTATGGTCATTGAGTGTTTTATGTGGTTGAACGAGGTTACCGACGTTTGTATGATATACAAGAACAATGTTCCAGATTATACAGTTCATTACCTACTAACATGCACTGAGACGACTTAGGTCTGGGATATGATCTAGAGCTTGTAGTTACCTCTGTTGCTTCCTAACAACCCATTACTCCT